TGGATGGGGGAGGTCAGGGGGAATATCATAAGCTTAGACTCTTAGAGCCTGAATCTCCCCACCTTATCCAACCAGTGGTGTATATGGAGGGGGCAGAGAAATGTTCTACTGATTTTAGCTTTACAACGAGCCTGGGAAATAACAAGGCAAATACATTAATTTCCAGCCCCCTCTTTGTGCTACATAATGCCTGAAAATATGTTTCTTCTCAGACACCGCAGGAGCCAGTAATAGCAATGCTTTGTTACTATGTATAATTGTGTGTGTTCAGTGGTTGCTTGGCTAAGGAGTAGCAGGACTACCCAAGCCAATGTAATTATTGCCAAAAATATGAAACCTGCTTTTGCTAGTTTAAAATAGTTTAGGGATTTGTTTAGGGAACATGGAGGTCCTTTATCCATGCTGCAAATCCTAAATATGTTTTCAATATGCGACCATGCTTTACAAATCAAAACAAACATGCATATGATGGCAAGCAAATGATAATTCCCATGACCTCTCTCTTGCTGACTGACCTATCAGTAACTTCCTCTGGAATGTCATGCGTCCTCATCTCAGAGCTGAATTCAGAGCGCACTTTATATCATAAGTACAGGTCTACTCTGATAAATAATGCACAAATGTTTTGTATTGATAATATTCCAGTAACATCATCATATTCCACAAGATTACAGGCTTGCATACCAGTATATGTATTATATACACTCCAGCACACTCCTGCTTACCACTGCATGGCCAAGATCTTTTGATCAGAATCCACTTTTTATCCCTCAACATAGATTCCGGGTCATGCATCATGTTGATGGGTGATCTGGTCAAACATAGCTGTTTCCATGGGAACATATCTACATGCAGTTGAATGGAAAACACAGCAGTTGAGGAGAAAAGGTTGAATTTGACTTGCTTTGCCTGCAGGTCTAATGCCCCTCAATAGGACATGACCAAAGAAACACAGTGTAGCACAAAGCAGGTCATATGCAGCCTTATAACTTTTTTGTGCACTGTGCTGTGAAGGCCAATAGCAATTTGCCGGATTGCATTCGATGTGTGTTTCAAATCCATGTCCAGTAGAAATCCATGTCAAACACAAAAAAATAATGTCTGTGTACATGAGCTTGTCTAATGACAACTCTAAAGTGAAAATATAATGGGGGGAATTTATCAATATTGGAGCAGAAGAATCTGGAGCAGTTGCCTATGGCAACCTATCAGCTCTTTTCAGTTTGTTCAGTTAAGGTTTGAAAATGAAGGTGGATACTGATTGGCTGCCGTGCCCAGCTGCTCCAGATTTTGTCTGCTCCAGTTTTGATAAATTCCCCTCAATGTATTTTCATTAATAACATATTATACACAATGTGCATCTGGAGCAGCTGTGCACGGCAACCAAAACCTGAAGCAGCTGTGCACGGCAACCAATCAGCTTCTCTCTTCAGTTTGTTCAGTTACAATTTGAAAATGAAAAAGAGAGAAGCTGATTGGTTGCCATGCACAGCTGCTTCAGGTTTTGCCTGCCCCAGTTTTGATAAATTCCCCTCAGTATTTCCTTAGAACTGCTTACATTTTTACATGCTTCCTGTTGGATATTTTTATTGTTGTAGATTAGCATGTAGAGCAGTGTTTCTTAAACTGTGGATCAGGGCCTCTGCGTCATCTCCCTGCCCAGCTCTGGTTGGAGTCCCGTTCAGTAACATCACTGGTTGCCAGGAGCTGGGTGGGACGCCGGCAAGAGCATCCCAGGTTGCTAAGAGCTGGGCGGGAAGATGGGTATGGCCCTTATACATTTCCCTGCCTGGCTCTTAGCAACCTGGAACACTGGCTGTAAAGCTCTACCTAATTGCTGCTCAGGTCATGAGGCTAATTTACCAAATGAGTTGAGACTTTTTACTCATTAAATTGAATATTCCCCTCAGCGATCCAATTATGGAGCTCCGGCGCCGGGCGGTTAGTTGTTTTCTACATTTAGCCCTGCTTTGGGAAAGCAGGGCTAAGTGTAGAGTGAGGAAGCCACTTGTTTCTTTACAAGTGATCTCGGCGATGTGACTGAGAACACTTGTAAGAAGAAAGCAGACAGTCCGTCCTCCCCCCGCACCCCCCATAAAACTAACCTTGCCACCCCTGCCATCCAGTTGCCATTTTCCATTGATGGGGGGGAGGGGCATTGCGGAACCTGGCCTTGGGGCAGCAGGGAGAATAAATCCGACCCTGATCACAACTCTCATATGTTGACTGCCTCTACACCATTAAATCCCCATTATACTAAGAAACTGAAGCCTCCGAGCAACTACTGCTACAGCCAGGTCATGATACTACAGCTAGCAAATGATCACTATGTTATCACTGCTGCAGATAGGGATTAGTCACTTCATTACAATAACCAGGGATTGACAAGCATATTAACTTCACCCTGATATCTGAAAGAAAGGGCAATTAAAGGGTAATTCCACTTCCCAGGGTGAATTTGGAATTTTACCAAATTCTCCTGGGAAAGTGGAATTATCCCACTGCTAGATGTAGGGAGTGACCACTGCAGTATTACCACTTATACTAGTGACTAGACATCATCTATAATGCTTTTAGGTCACACACTTACAATTTTGGGCTATGCTTAATTTTTTTACTTGCACAATGCAGGGTCATTTTCAGGTCCCTGAGCTTTGGAGCTGGCTCATACCAGCAAAATGTTATTCTTAGGAAGAAAGGAGCAAGGCCCAACACGACTGGGTGATGATGGGGGAATGGCGGAATGCTGTCCACAGATATGTTTGTTTGTGTGTGTTCATCTGAGAATAGACGAGCCTGGGAAACCCACAGAATCACCGACATTATTCTTCTTAACCCCTTCTGGGCTTAGAATCCCCAGCTTTTAATAGAAGCCAGATGGCGATTTATCTCAGCTCTGGATGCAGTAATATACCATTGCACGATAACCCAGAGTGATGTGATATATAGTTATTTGGCACAGTGAAACACAGTAACAGGCAACTTCACAAACTGTTTGCAGAGGTTTGAAGTCCGTCACCTCCTCCTGAATTTATGCTATTAGGTTTCACTAAGCTGAAGCAGATCCAGCATGTAGATGGATGACCTTGATGGTGGAATCAAAGGCACAATATGGGATGTTATTCTAGCAGTGAGGGATGGAGAAGGTTAGACTGCAATGATGAATAGTCAGCTGCTGGGCCTTATTGATTTAAAGGTTCTCATTCTCCTTATACAATATGACTTATGAAATAGAAGATCATGTTGATAAATAGGGCCAGCTTTACATTCACAGAACAGGATTAAAGTTCATCAGCCAAAAGGTATTTTTAGTTTTGGATAGAGTAGGGAAGGAATAGAACCCCTGATAGGTTTTCTTTGCTGTCTCTGTCTCCGCTATCCCTAATTGTAGCGTTGTAACCAGAAGGTGAGGGGAAATATTCCAATGGGAGAAAAAAGGGGCCACTGGCACTCCAGAATGCTGATCAATACGCCTTTATTGATGCATGCTCAGTATCACATAACACAATGTTTCGGGGCCACGCAGGGTCCCCTTCATCTGGCAAAACAGTGATAACGTGAGTGCATACACAGTGAGCACATTAGTGAAGAATACATCAACCAATCAGAATGCATTCCTACCCCTCGTGATGTCACTATGATGTCATTAAAGAGAAGAGACAAAATCAATAAACATGGTGCATATATATTCAATATAACTGTCACAGAAAATAGTGACCGTCAATAGGGAAAACTGCAAGTGCTTTTAAATGCAAAGTCTTGGATTTCACATCGATTAAACAGACTTCACAACATAACTAAGCATTACAAATAGAAATGTCACTTTTTGGGGTGGCTGCAGGTCAGCTTTAATCATTTTAAATTGCAATCGCAATACCTTACAATGATTCTTGCTTGGTTAGAGTAGTGTGTTTCCTGTACCCTAAAAATAAACGTTTCCAGCACTGAAAATCCTCCAGATATCCACTATTGTGCAAAGATAAAATCCACACACAGCTTACACGTTTCTGCCCAAGTGGCCTTAGTCATAGCATGATGAAACACGTAATCTGCAGTGTGTAACTTTATGTTTGCACAATAAAGAATATCTGGAGGATTTTGAGTGCTGGAAACATTTATTTTGTTGTGCAAAACTTTGTTCTGGAGCAAGGATCTCTGTACACCGAAATAAGGATGCGGGACATTTGTCAGGGGGTGAGTTCTAATTTCCTGTACCCTGCCTTGGTGTCAGCATATGCATTTATAGTATAAAGTAGTACTATGTGCAGAGAGAACAGTGTTAGAGGTGGGATTTTTCTGAAGCGTATTCAGAATGATATTACATGCTATGGACTGATCATGCATGCTCATGCTCAGTTGTGGAGCCATGGGTGAAGTGTTACAATCCTCAACTGTCACTTTATCCTCTTTCCCTGCACTACGCCATCTGATGTCTATCACTTGAAGTACTCATGCGCTATGTAATGTTCTCTTAGATGACAAAGGCACAATAAATTGGTAAGGTATGACTGAGAAGCAGCAAATAACAAGAGTCTCCTGGATTTGCCTCTTTGTTCAATCTATCAAAAGACTATTCTGGCCTGCTATACATTTTTGTTACTCCAGCAAAAATCATGTAAAAAAGCTACCAGCACAGAAACTACACTTTTACTATGCAGGTAATATACAGAAACAAGATTAATTCAATCAGACAGAAGATATAACTATCACTAAATGTTTTCAGATTGTTCAATAAATGTTGTGACCTGTTGTTGTGACTGTACTATCATTAGGCAGAAGGATATATGTGTTTAATGAAGGCTGACACATGCAGCTGCCGTGTCACAACTATCTGGCAGTTTGCTAAGCCTGGCTCATACCATCACATGAGCACTGCTATCTTTAGCTAGAGACAAGCTACATCTTCCAAGTTGCAGATGAAATACAGTAACCCAGCCATAGGAAATGAACGAGGGGCACAAAGACACTCATTCTTCTTATAGTTTACCAAGGCAAAGGAAATGGCCAAGCTTTCTGTCACAGTGGAAGAGACAGTATTTACCACAGACAAAGACCTGCTGATGAAGCACAGTGAATATTTCCGTGCTCTCTTCCAGTCTGGAATGAAGGAAAGTACCCAGGATGAAATACAGCTTCGCAACTTGGGTGCCATGGGCTTTCTGATAACTCTGAGGGTTCTAGGAGGAGAAAGGCCTCTTTTGAGCTGTGAGGAAATCCTGCAAGCTGTGGAGTGTGCAGCCTTTCTTCAAGTCGAGCTCCTTACCGAGCACTTGGTCAACCTGATTGACTCTGACAACTGTCTAGTTATGTATCAAGCTGCTGCCACCTATGGACTTCTAGACTTGTTTTACGCTGTAGCCTTGTACATTCGAGATATTTACGAGCTGCTGGAAGATGATATCCAATGCTTGCCCCCTGACCTTGTTCAGTATGTAGACTCCCTCGCACCAAGCTCCTTTGTTGCAGTAGGTGCACATACCCCAACTATAGAGTTCCTTGAGGATGTCTCAAGAACAATGTGTTTTTTAGATGAAGAGAAGAACCAATGGCAGAGTTTGGGCTGCATTCCAGATGAAGCAAGCACTTTTTTAGCTGGTGTAGCCACACTGGACGATAAAGTTTACGTTGTTGGGGGCGCCCGGGGGGCAAACAAACAAGTGGTGGAAAAGAGCTTTTGTTATGATCCAGACCAACACAGCTGGAGTGAATTTGCCAGTCCACATCAGCTGCGATATGAAGTGACACTAGTTGGACATAAGGGACATCTATACACCTTTGGTGGTGAATATGAGAGAGTTCCTGTGGCCTCTGTGGAGAAATACTCGCTCACTTCCCAGATGTGGACTTTTGGCAAAGAGCTACCACAGGCCGTAGCAGGTCCCCCCGCCACAAAGGCCATGGGTAGGCTCTTCATATGCCTCTGGAAACCACAAGAGACAACTATAATTTATGAATATGATACCTACCAGGATGATCTGATTCCTATATCTTCAATTAGGCGGATGCAGAGCTACGGCCATTGCATGGTAGGGCACAGAGACAATCTCTACATTATGAGGAATGGACCATCTGATGATTTCTTACGTTGCAACATTGAAAACTACAACCTGAGCACACAGCAGTGGACAACTCTATCTGGACAGTATGTGAACAGTAAAGGAGCCCTCTTCAACGCTGTCATCCGGGGAGACACTGTCTTCACCTTGAACAGAGTATTGACTTTGCTGTACAGAGTAGGCACTCACACCTGGAAGCCCATAAAGGAGAAGACTGGATTTAACAAAGGAGGATCTCTGCACACGTTCTTCCTGAGATTACCAACAAAGACAAAGCTGATGGCCAGTAAATTATACACAAATCCTCATCAGAGTTTCTTATAACCATGGAGTTCTGCTTGGGATGGATGGTAATGGGCAGCTCTTTTGAGCAACTTTCAGATCTGGCTGTTCTCAAAGTAGTCACTGGAAGTGAGTTCTATAATGACCATTACTTTTAACACGTGCAGGATTTGCAAATCTACTCCAAAGTTTGCAAAACACTGCTGGTTAAAATGCTCACCAGTATCCACAATGGAGGTACGGATATAGGTATGCTCTTCCTATGAGGTAAACAATTTCATGGTGCATGCACCCTGGATGTAAACATCAATCCATTTAAAGAAAGCAGAGATAGTAATCCAACATGCGCTAAATTTCTGTTTAATACATCTATATTTAAGCTCCATCAGGTAACAACATATACCACTTTGAAGTAGCTGCAAGCAATAGTGGTATCACGTTGGTATGTGATGACACTTGAATAAAGTGACCTTAATCTGAGGTGACTGCAGGGTATAAATATATAAATAAAGCAAATATATGAATGTATATAAATAATATATATATTTGCAAAGTTATACATGGGCACTATGAAAGAATTGAAAAATCAATGACATGTTTTGTGCTTTTTATGGTGATCTTTGGCTAATCGTGCTCTCTGTCATAGTGTTACCATATAGTATCTGAGCACTGCAAGAAATGCCTGTCCCACTTTCAGTTCTTGCATAATGTATGGCCAGTTTTCTATAACTATTTTACATATTGTATTATTTTACACACACACACCTCTAAGCAGACATAAACATTCATGCTCAGGAGATCAAAGTGTGCATGTGTATGGAAAGATCTTTGATCTTTACACGAAAGCTCATTCTGACCATGCCTGCATATTACCAATGGTCTATGGCTACCTATAAAGATTGCTATGGTTATGTTTCATTGTTCTCATTCCTTCTCATGTATTCACTATTTATGCTAGTAAGAAGCAGTGGAATACAATAACCCACAACAAACACATTGTCTTTCAGCTAGATGTAGAAAAAGGAAGGAAAACTGATTGGTTGGTTTACACCGCTGCTCTTTGTACAATGATAGTAAGTGAAGTCAATTGTGTTATAGTGTGAGTGATGTAATAACAGTAAGAAATAACAATAGTTGGAAAGTAAAATGACGAATGTCCCTTCTTTTGCTGCTGAATATCTGTGTGTAAATATCAGCTCTGAAGCAGGGGGCGTGTCCCCGAAAATGCATTCAGCAAGAGGTAGCGTGACTCTGCGGCACATCAGAGCTCTTGGATCATTTTTCATTCATCTCCACAGCAGAATAACTATTGAGGACTACCAGTCCATTTGATGTTTTTATCTTGCTCCCTCTGTGAGTATATTTTATTGTACTTAATTTTTACCAATAAAAAGGATTATTGCACCAGGTCAGGCGCCCGGTGTTTTCTTATGTGTGTAAATGTCAATATGTAGGTGTCATAATTAAAATAGAAATTTCAATAACTGTACTCATTAAATGTTTTTTTTTCTGACTCTTCCTTTAAGTTCTCTGTAGACAAGCATATGGAAGATGGTAAGAGATCATCCCACAACTTATCACTTACATCTTATTCTTTCAAGTCACTGACCAGTTAAATCGCTTCCTCCTACAGGAAGTAGGATAAAATGGCATCAATTAAACAATGAGGTATTGTCAGACTAACGAGACATATCACTATTAATCAGAGGTGACTTACAGTGATGGGTGTTGCCATTGGCTCCATCAATTAGAATAATGAGCTTAAAGGATTGCCAAGATCTGCGTCTGTGGAAACGACTGCTTTCAGGCACTTTGTGAGATATAAAGGACGCACGGCATGAATATACAGTATATGCAAATGCATGTCTTTGAGGAAGAAAATGAATGACACAGTTACCTTTGGTATACGTGTTTTGTGGTACAGGATTTTGAAAAGTGAACCCTTGCAGTGGGGCTACCCCTGCACTGCAAGAGTTAACTGCTCGTTTTGGTCTAGGGAGCGGAAGTAAATAAGAAATACTCACCTGATTCTCGGTCCCGCGACAGTGATTGTTCACATCTCTCCCTCTCCACTCCGGCTAAGGTATGTCCAATAGACATGATGACTGCTGGGGCCTGGGGAGAAGAGCCTGCGGGGACCGGTCTAGCAACCCAGCAGGACTAAAGACCAGGTGACTAAACCTTCTTTATTTTCCTCCCTAAACAAAGCGAGCAATTAAAGGAGAACTATGGGGTCAGTGTTTTTTCCCATAGTTCTCCTTAGGGTAACGGGAGGACACAAACTAGCGTCCTCCCGTTACCCTAAGCTCAGTATACCGCGAGCTGTAGACGCCTGAGACGCCGCAGCCGGAGCGGATCCCGACATGGACGTCGAGATCCGCCCAGCTGCAAGAGAAATGGCTCCTCCACTGTACTACTGCTCTGTACAGAGTGGACCATGTTTCACTGAGAGAAAGACAGGCTGAAGGCAAACAGTTACCGCAGTAGTGTCTCTTTATATAACTATAACATAATACTATGTGGAACTGTATCAGGTGTTCAACCTGTATTGCACGTTTATTGGCAAAACAGATTTTATATAAATAGTAAAAAAACACACAAAAAAAGAAATATAAACATTAACAATGAACTGCAGGCAGATATTAACAAATCAACAAATAATACAGACATGTTTATTCTGAAAAGTCATTAACTGTATGGTAAATGCAAGAATTGTTAATATTTAAATCTGCCTTGATTATAACCCCTTGTAATTTCCTGTACATGGGCCTATTAGGTGTCACTTGTGCTGACAGGGAACATGCTGACAGGAGGTGAGAGCAGTGAGTTTACTTCATCACCCTGTTGCTGCTCCTTCAGTGTCCAGTTACAGGCAGGGGCAGGAAGGTGACCAGGCTGTGTTACTTAACCTGTTGACGCTGGATGTGCACATATGCACCGCCGTGTGGCCACATGCATGCGCACAGCAGGAGCTGCTGTTCTTTGCTGGCAGCACACTCACTCAGTGCCCCTAGCACTGTGACCAAGCTGTCACTCACTGTCAGGAGCTGATAGGATGGGCTCCTGATCATGTGAGCACTTGGGCAGCCAGTCACGTTAGGGAGCCCACCTACCAGCCCCTGTCAGAAAGAACCCCTTATGGGCCTGGTAATAGCTGGCAGCAAGGGGTTAAAGAGAATCTGAACTGTGGAAGTTGTGCCCCAAATAAAGGCAAAGTTGTATAAATCTCAGGGCTGGATGGACAGAAATATAAATCCTTTTACAGATAACACAGCTTCCATAAATGAATTCCAATAGCGTGTTTAGCTATTTCTTACGCAGGGCATTCTTCTTTTCTTTAGGAACTACTGACATCATGTAAACATAAACCACCATTGTGTGTTTTGTAGAAGCATATCGTGTCTAACTCCTACAATCCATATTTCACATGCAATTTGGGCAGATCAAGCAATCCTTCCTTCAGACATGAGATCTCCTATGTACTATTCAACATTACTGCAAAGAACCTGTGCCACAGAATTCAGGAGAAATTCATTAAAATACATCCCGTGATGGACTACAATCTCAATACAAATGAGGGGCAATACAAATCTCATTGCCAAATCAAGGGGCGAAGGCTTAATACAGCCTGTTTATCATGCAATCATTTTGTCCAGAAAAGGTGGTAGTTACATCTCCATTTTGCATAGGCCAAGCAATAAATGTGAAACCTTTGGACACAACATGGAGAGCACCTCACGGGTTTTTTGGCCTGTCACTATCTGCCTCCAGCTATCCAAACAACGGCTAATGGCACCCACTGCCTCACAGCTCTATTTTAAGGGCTGTTTATGAGAAACACTTAAATCATATAAACATTTACATACTTTGCCCTCTCTCAAAGCCGCTCTGCTTTGTTCCTCTCAGTCCAAAAGTCATTAACAACATAGGTCTCAGCACAGGGACCCACATCTGCTGCTACTTGTTCCAGTGATTAATGACAGATAAATGGCAATTGCTAAATTTATAAGGCCTTGGTAATTGCTTTGTGTTCTGCCACATTCACAGACTGACATACTGAAATACACAGACACTCAGAAATAGATACCTAATTACTAACATGCACCTAGAAACATACGCCATCACTAAAGCACACACATACAAATGTAGGCAAAGCCAGGACTACATGTATAAACACCACATTCCCACTCCTGAACCTTGTACTAATCACTTTGACATAGTGAAAGGCTTACTGCATATGTCTAGAAAATGGAGCATAATGATGGCTGGCAGATTTCTGGTCAGTACTGATAGCTATAGCCATAAAAGTGAGACTTGGGCCCTAGTGCTGATACATTATTGTTTTTGTAGTTTTTAAGCTGTGAGGCAAGTCACTCCATTTTATTGCCCAACAGCCTAAATTGGACTGATCATAATGTCTTCACAAGTGTCTTCACGAGGGTCGAAGACGGTTTTGCCAAGCCCAAAGAACAGGGATCTTGTCTCATGGTGTTGGACTGGTGGGTTACTTCAGAGGGGTGGGTAGATTTATTAAAGGAATACGTCACTAAAGGTTAAGCACCAATGGGAAAACATCAATAAGTGTGCATTACATGGTTCTCCTAAAGGTGAAGTGTCCCATTAAGTATGTGTGGTATGTGTGGTAAACCCACTCCACTTTCTCACAGACCTGGTTCTTTCACAGAGAGGAGTGACATCAGAGAAGCCACTGGAACTGGGTGTATCTAAGGTCTGATTTTGCAGTGCCAGTAACATTACTGTTATATTGTAGGTAGACAAGATTGCAGAGATGAGGCCACTGGCTTAAGACCTTGCATCCTGTTAGCAAACCAACAATGTTATTTCCCCACAGCCTTGGGTAACTGGCTGTAACAATGGCATGAAAGGGAGGGAAGGAATATGTTTTCCTAATAAACCTGGCGTAGGTGACCATTTGTGAGTGATGTTCTGTGCTGCAATACTGTGAACCCAGGCCAGCGCCATGCTGTCCCTCCAGGGGGTGGGTCAATGTCGGACTGAGTTCACAAGATGTGGGTTGAAGT